TTATCTTTATCTTTACCTGTATACCGGTATTAACTGTAAAATGAATGCGCGCGAATGTTATAAAATATTGCGCGTAATCGTAAAAAAAATATCCCCAAATGCACGTAAATTCAAGGCGCCCATTCAACTAAATTTCCTTTCAAATTCTCATTTGCCGTCACGAACCTTTACCAAGACAAACACACGAATAATCGTCGTTCAAATATAATTGCGTTTTACTTTTAGGATAATTATATATATATATATATATATATATGAACTACTGAACAGCATTGTTTATCAAGTTACTTCCTATATAGCTTGTATAATTTATTACCCTAGAAATAGAACTAGCTTATTTCCATCGTCATGGAAAACATGCCATTTATAGGTATTCCTGTGATACAATTGATTTAAGTGAGGGACAAATTTATCTGAATAAGATGTTAAACACTCACAGAGCCACGAAGAGCCCCAAAGGTTGCAATTCTTGACGGAGACCATGTTTCAAAGAATATCAAAAATCAAAAATTAATTCGTACCAGAGAGATTATTGATTTTGATCAGATTTTTAATCATCCAGAAAATTAAGCTTAAAAGGACACTGGAAAATCATCAATGAGAAAGAAAATATTTTATTAAGGTGTTTGATCTCTCCACTTAAAGCGAAATTACCACCAGATAAGTTTCAATCAAGTTTAAGTTCTCTTACGACTATAAGATGAGATCTTAGATCGATTTTTTTTAATTGACATAATATACTGTACAATCTGAATATTTGCAATTGTGGAATTATTTATAGATAATATTCTAGGCATGTGTTCAAGCACATGGTAAGTACAGTTTTACTTGACAGAAAATGGCGAATGCTGTTAGAAGTGTCTGATTTGTTCTTAGTTCTCCCTGACGACACACTTGTAATGATTGATCTTAGGTTGGTCCACGTTGACTTGACTGGAGTTACACGTTTGATTGTGTCCTTCTTAAACCTGTATGCTATATAAAATAAGATGTGGTATGATTGCCAATGAGACAGCTATCTATTAAAGACCAAATGACAAATATGTCAACAATTACAAGTCATCGTACGGCCTTTTACAATGAGTAAAACAAATACCGTATAGTAAGGTGTAAAAGGCTATGGGATGACACAATTTTCGAACAATTTAAAACGTGTTCTATGTTGTTTATATATTTTTTTTATTATTAACCTTGGAAGAATTAACGATTTTAATGTAGAAAAGGGACGAAAGATACCGGAGGGACAGTCAAACCCACAGATCGAAAACAAACTGACAACGCCATGGCCAAAAATAAAAAGACAAACAGACAAATAATAGTACAGATGACACAACATAGAAAACTAAAGACTAAGCAACACGAACCCCACCAAAAACTGGGGGTGATCTCAGGTGCTCCGGAAGGGTAAGCAGATCCTGCTCCACATGTGGCATCCGTCGTGTTGCTTATGTTATTACAAATCCGGTAAATAGTCTTATTCGGTAGGTCACATTCGTGAAAAGTAGTTACTACACATATATAGATATAAGAAGATGTGGTATGAGTGCCAATGAGACAACTCTCCATCCAAGTCAAAATTTATAAAAGTAAACCATTATAGGTCAAAGTACGGTCTTCAACACGGAGCCTTGGCTCACACCGAACAGTAAGCTATAAAGGGCCCCAAAAATTACTAGTGTAAAACCATTCAAACGGGAAAACCAACGGTATAATCTATATAAAAAACGAGAAACGAGAAACACTCATGAACCACATCAACAAACGACAACTACTGAACATCAGATTCCTAACTTAGGACAGGTGCAAACAAATGTAGCGGGTTTAAACGTTTTAATGGTACCAAACCTTCGCCCTTTTTTCTGAAACAATAGTGTAACTACATGTTAACGCTATGTGCTTCAACATTGCATCATGTACGATATGTTTGCCGTTTCTGTAGTTGTTTTGTCCGCGTACTAGTAATTGTTTTGTCAGCTTCAAGGCATTAGGCAAGATCAACATGACAACACTTTTTTATTTCAAGGGCAGTTAAAAGAAAGTCTCCTTCTCACAAAAAAAAGCAAAATTTTAGCGGGAACATTTGTTTTAAATCTTTCAAATGTGAGAAATTTGAAAAGAACGGTAATATTCTTTTCATTAAATATAATAAATTCATAATCAAATATGCGTTATCCGTAAAATATTGTATTCTAGGAAATCCAAAAAGTATAGTAAAATAAGAGTTAAATTAAACCGTTTTTTTTTTAAATTGTCCACGTAATTTACAGGTTTTAAACCTTTGAAATATACAAACTAGAAGCCTAAAGGTGCATGTATTACTCACTTAGCCTCTATGCATGTATATATTATATTGTCTTTATATATGAGTACATGTAATTTGTTATTGTACAGTTAAAGGTCAGTCTGCATCATCCGGTTGTTACAAATTAACATGCTTGGAATGTGAAATGCCCATTTATTTTCTAAAAAAAATATTTTAGCGTACCATAATAAGCCGAGTTTGGTTCATGTGAAGTTCATGGAAATTTTAATAAGAGGTGAAGCAACGCGGTGATATATAGTGTGCCGTGCAATGCCTTGAACAGTTTATCAAATAAATATAAATATAAAGGTAGTTTTTATGACATTTCGACAAAATCTGACCACTGAATAAGACATGTAGCTAATCTTTAGAATGTTTGCAAGTGTAACTATTATAAATAAACAATCTCGTTTAATATGATACCAGCACAACTTTCAAACCATTCTACATTTTTGCTTCGCATTATTACTCTTATAAAACTGGGAACGCGTCAGGGAGGGGAGAAGAAATAAGATACGGATGGTTTGACAGTATAAGTATTCGAGACCAGGTCAATGAATATGTTATATATATGATCACATATTGTTGGATAAGCGCTGATAGTCAAAATTGATACATTTATTATTGCGCGTTTCCTAAGCTTTAATCTATATAACACGATTAGTTTTATTCACATTATTTCGTATGTACGATGTATATGGTGTTAACATCATATTACAGTCATTACGTCTAATATACGAAAAGTATAGTATATTCCCTAGTGCGTTTTACTCAATGCTGGCCGATTTTTAATTATTAGAGTTAACCATACTTTGTTAAACTATCACATTATACAATTTAGAAAGCATATTGGTCTAAAAAGTCTTGACTTTGAAAAACAGTACTACCAAACAAACCAACACTCAGGTATTATATACATGTAATCCTCGAAACGTTCTCTCACAGTGTACTTTATGTGATGATGATGTTGAGAGTATCAATTTTCTTGTACCTAACAGAAGTAATTTTGTTCATTTGAGAGAGTAAAAGTAACGATATCGTGTGTCTCTTTTCAAGGAGATCCGAATATAACGGCCTCCTTCGTCTAATGAATACTTTTTTAGTTTAAATATTTCATGTCGGAGTCTTTTCCCTGATCGCATTTTGCTTCATATTACAAATAAAACTCAAACACTCAAACTCAAATAAAATTATCCAAAAATAGAAATAATAAAAAAAATAAAAAATACACCCGAAAGAACCCCTAAAACTATCGTTTTCTCTATAAATCACAAAATAAACACAAAAACAAAGGCTGTCATTAATTTGTCATACCACGAAGCACCCCATACCTCTTTGGGAAGGATATAGCTAAACATTTAAGTTTCAGGCTAATTAATTTCTGAAATACGTATCGTGTGTGTTGATATTGGTATTATATATTACACTGAATATATCTTATTACTTCTGAGACTGCTTTTGATATGGATAAAATTTATATTTACCTAAAATATGAATTTGAATTATGAAAATAGTTTTTTTTAATAAATATAGATCACAAAAAGTAACCGGAGAAAATAGCCGACCAGTACAGTTCACCATATAATAATGTTATTAGTTTCAATTTTTTTCTGTTCATGTACTATTTGTTATAGCTCACTGTCGGTCACACATTCGAACCAACCAATAAACCAGGATCTGAGTCATATCAAAAAAGAAAAAAAAATCGTAAAACCTTCTTTGGAATTCGTGCTATATCTTGAATGTGTTGTCATACTTATCATTTAATGGTTATTCAATACCACTCACATATCCAGCTGTTCAATAACAAAAATGACAAAACGAGCATTTCTCTAATTCAAAGCTTCCACAAAGTATCACTATATTCTACACGTATTGTGTCTTCGCTTAAACCCAGACGCAGGAGTATCTTCACATCAAAACAAATTATAGACTTTTAAAGGGTTTTGAAATAGATGAATCTTAAATTGAATGTAAAACTTCAAAAGAACATTGTATTGGCAAAAAAAAAAAAAAAAAATCCTAGAAAATTGGAGTTATACCAAGTTCTTATCAAATAACTGTTACATTTTTTTTGGGAAAGATAAAGACTTGAAAAAAAGAATTACTTATATATATGAGCTGCGTCGGATAGAAATCGACCTTTTGCAATAGCACGTATACAAGTACATGTATAAAACTTTGATTGATTTTGAAACATTCAAATACGAAATAAAAGATGAATTAGGTCTGTTTTGTAGGTTTCTAAAATCAACTCAATTTTCAAGCAGTTACAGAATTTGCATAGAGATTGTTCAACCCGAAAAAGGTTAACAAACGTATTGATATTCATTTGCATAAGGTCGATTTCTATCCGACACAGCTCAATTATTTGAGTGAAGTGTAAATCAAAGTATAACAATTAATGATTCATTTGCTTTATAGATGTAAAATCTAAGAATGAACATGCACCGTTTAATATATAAGAAAAGCAAATTAGCAAATTAGAGCTTGGGAAGATTCCTGCTGAAAATTGTAAATAGTCCTCCAGATTACAAGTTTGGTTATTTTTTGTCGTTTCGGGTTGCTCCTTTATTCATTTTCATTTCAAATGATAAATAATTAATAACTGATAACAAAAATCCCTGACAAAAATCATCTACAAAGAAAAAAAATATAAAAGCAGTGTCAATAAATCTGATTTGGATTTTTGTTTCAGTTTATACCTTGCACTGGAAATAGGTATTACACCTAAAGATGATGAGCAGAATGCATCTACGAGATAGAGGGAAATTACAAAGGAAGCCGTCAGAAAGACTTGTGGACAAAAATTCCCGCACACATATTTCCGCTAAAGGCATTCGAGGTTGGCGAAAACAATATATGTTTGACTTTTTCACCACAATGGTAGATATAAGATGGCGTTGGAACATACTAATATTCGTTGGCGGATTTGTAGTCACATGGTTGATATTTGCCATTTTTTATTGGATAATAGGATTTTTCAATGGAGATTACGAAGACGACAACAGTGATCTTCACAAACCCTGCATTAAGAATTTACGTTCATTTTTATCAGCATATTTATTTTCAATAGAAACACAAAGTACTATTGGATATGGGTTTTATTATGTTACAGAGGAATGTTTGATGGCCTATACATGTGTTCTTCTGCAATCTATTCTTGGGGCAGCGCTACAAGCTGCATTGGCGGGACTGGTAGTTGCCAAAGTAAGGCGAGGAAGGAAAGATAATAACACAATTATTTTCAGTAGTAATGCATGCATTTTAGCTGATGGTGCACAATTAAAATTAGTGTTTAGAGTAGCAGATACTAGAAAAATTCATGCAATTAATGTCAATGTTAAAGGATATTTGTTTCGTAAAATAGTATCAGAAGAAGGAAAAAATATTCCTATCAAACAAGAAATTGTGAATTTTAATGTGGAAGGAGGTTGTAATGGTTTATACTTAGCGTGGCCCCAGCAAATTGTTCACATCATAGATGAAAAATCGCCATTTTGGAATCTTTCTAAAGAAGACTTACAACAAGAAAATTTTGAACTTATTATTGTATTTTTTGGTGAAGTAGCAACTGTTGGGAGACCTTTTGAAACAGATGTATCCTTTTTACCATGGGATATAAAATGGGGGTACAAATTTCAGGCTATGGAACATAAAATTGACAACGAAATCGACAGATTTTATGTAGACATTGGAAATTTTAATAAAGTTTTCCCAGTGCCTACCCCAACATGCAATGCAAAAGAGCTCAAACTTGCAATGTCGAGGAATAGTTTGAACTTGCCAGATTATATACGAGAAAATATGAAACAACCAAAATCTAGCCCTCTATTTAGTCGACAAAACAGTGTTGCTGATAAATATTTAGACGCCCCCATTTCAGGCTTCAATGAAACTGATCAGTTTTCTGCTCTACCACAATAAGTTTCAGTAGATAAACTTACAAACTGACATAATCTTTACACTTCGATATTTATAAATGTAAATACATTTTTCATTCTTTCATTCAGTCTTATGTTTTATATTCGTTTTAGGCATATCTTTCTCTCCTTGACATGAATTTATTACGTTTTTGAATTTTTATATGCATAACATACATATATGAAAATAAAGTTGAGAAAAGGTATTTCTTGTTTTTTCATTACATAAAAAATTAAGTTCTAACAGGTTTTATTGGGTTCTTTGTTTGTCAATATCTTATATAAGTCAATTGACAGTTTCTTTTTAATCTTGTTCATTCCCAGGGAAGAGTGTTTTCCTGTAACTGGCTCTTTATAGTTAGAGTGTGGTTTGTACCTGTGTTTCGTATGGCCGAGTAACGTTCATGAAACAAAACGAATTCAAAAAGAAATTTACGGTAATGAAAAATTGTTTCGATAAAGTTGTTTTAAAGGCATTCGGCAAGTCACAAAGACTCCATGGATTGATTGATTGTTGTTTGCTTAACGCCCAATGGCTACTATGATTATTTCATGGATATTCGGGACGGCGGAGGATATATTTTAGCGAAAACAATCTAGCGCCAAAGTATAGCCCATTTTAGCCCCAGATTTTTTATCCATTCAGTGATAAATTAAATTGTCAATGCCTGTTTTTTTGCGACACAAATTCATTCATAGCAGAATAATAAATTTTAATAGTATCAAGACAGCACAACATACAAGATGTCATGTCCATAAATATATAATTCTAAACTCAAATGTTTAATTTTAAATTTTTGTCCAAGTGAATGTACGAAATGGTCTCTTGATATACTCCCTGTACAGTACTGTCCATAAAATTGTGATAGGACTGTTCCTTCTCTTTAACATGTCTATATTAGATTGCAGATTCATCGATACTTCATAATTTAATGTATGTTGTTGTTTGTAATTTGATGATAGTGTTCACAAAACGTAAATCGCCAGGTGACGTTAGCCACATTTTGCATTTTTTATTTCCTCTGCTTGTTTCAACAACATTTATTTCCATGATTTACTAAATTGTAAATGCAAACAACTTAAATTTAATGCCACCATAAATTACTGTTCACGGTTTTAGTATGGTGAGTTCTATTCAACCGGGTAAGTTTTCGCAAAAATGGGCTTTCGAAAAAAAGTGAACGGATTAGTCTTGCTCTAAAATGGGCTATACTGCCTGCGCTAAAATATCCCCTAATTGCTTTAAAATTTTCGCTAAAATGTCCTGCGCCCATTCAAGACGAGGGCAAATCAATAATTAATACTCGGATGAAGGGCGGGAAATTTGGACTGACACTTTAAAATAAGAGAAGGATGGATAGAAGCATGAATTTCGCATTGCAACAGGTTATCTTCATACTTTTAAGAGAGTTATTGTTATGGTGTAGAGGCCGTGGCATGGCAGCCTTCACGAGTCATCATACATAAAGTCCCGATTCCGACAAAACGTTGCAGCGTATTTATACATCCATGCACAAAGCCAAACAAACGTCCTAAAGTTAAGTGATAACTCATATTTGTATATTTATTTAAACCTTCGAGTGATGTTCTATTGACCATCAGTACATACTCTCCAATTAATTCTATAACAAATATCCATGCTATGTAAACGGTGTCCTCTATGAAATGTGCCTTCGCGTTCTTGGGTACTGTTTGGTATGTCAATTTTGTTTTCTATATTGATTATTCACTTTTTAATAACATGATGTACATGTATTAGAGAATGAATTTTGCATACATTAATTGCATATTTGCATAAACATGATAATATAATTGAAAAGTATTCGGGTATATTGTCTACACATTCAATGGCGTTCCAAGATTTTTGACTATTTAGTAAAAACATTTGTTACAAATGCCAATAATGAATTAAACCCCACTTCAAAATCATCTATCTTTGATATCGAGCAAGCATGGTCTCAAATATTGCTGTATACTTTTACATGTAATGAATATACAGTCAATCTATGCCGCAAGTGTGCTGTTTCGCGTTCATTTCAGTGCAGTGTATTATGACTTCTTGTACCGTAAAGCGATAGGATTGTACTGTGATTTCATGTTCAACAAATACATATAGAATAATACATGGCAAAATCCGTATCGCATGCTGTATCACCACGAGAAACCAATATCAGTCCCGAGGGCCGAAGGTCCCGAGGGCTGATATTGGTCGAGTGGTGATACAGCATGCGATACGGATTTTGTCATGTATTATTCTGTTTATCATATATTTAAATAGAATCAGATTAATGTGATATACGTTTTTTTTAAATCGTCCGAAAATATATATAAAAAAAAGAACATAAGGATTTTCCTGTATTTTTCCAGCTGACCTAGTTTTTTTTATAGACTTCCTTATTTGCTTAATATCCACATCGTAATGTCCCTTACAACCTTATTACATGCTCAAAATAGAGCTATGAAACTGGCAAATAATATACTTTAAGACCATGTATTTAAAAGCATTCACTAACAATAGTGTCAACTGTTCCCTCCTGTAGAATACAAACCCACCTTCATTATACTACAATCTGAACTCACTGTTTGTATACATAAATATGGACAACAATGTTACCAAGTATCATCTATTCATAGATTATTAACAGACAATCGGGATTCCTATATACACAGCCATTGGACAAAAGTGTATCTATTTTATAAAAATCGCTTATAAAGTTACTGGGTAATATTTTTTTTGAAAAATATCGATTTTAGTTGAAATGATATGACATTTCTTGAGTTGGAACTCACTTTTTTCCTATGCCAGGAAATACAGCAACTGGACGTCATAGGTCAAACGTTGACGTCATTTGATTTACAGTAGGACAACCGGAAGCGCCTGAGTATTGATTTCGGTGCTCAGTGATACGGTTCAATAGACGACGTTGTCAACACGTAATGGCGGCCATTGTTTGACGTTGGATTTGGCATTCCACGCTGTAAAGATACATTTATGACATTCTTGGATGCTAAAACTTAATGCCACACAACATAAAAGGTAAAGGATTATTTCAGATATACCGAGTTAATTATTTTCAAATAAGTGGGGTCCCAGAAAATGATTTAAACGGCAAAAATAAAGTGTAAAATTATATGAAACATGAAAATTGAAATCCCATTTTTCATCATTTCCTTTTCATATATTGAATACACTAGCTATTTACACCAACCACAGGTGAATTATATTCGAATATCGGTTTTAGGTATCCGTCCTTGTCTCCGAGAATTTTATACCCACACAAGTTGTCAACATCCGTTTTCAAACTGTTCAAAGTGTTCTTCACAATCTCCCTGGAAATTATTCACACTATCACTTCGTGCTCAGATAATAGAACATTGTAAACCTCGGATCAACTGAACTTGGCGACCACAATACTCGTATACCAGTATTGTCAACAATACTCGTATACATAAAATGTATAAGTATTGTATACGAGTATTGTCCTAGTATTGTTTATATAGAAAATATTAGAAACATTTATTCATTTTGTATCCCATGATAAAGTGTATTCAAGGGAAATAACCCAAGGATTTTTAATTGATGCACAACAATTTCAGACTCTTTTTGTACTATTTAGTTTGTCCTTAAAAGGACTGGTTGGCCACTTTGGGACTTTCCAGTTTTTCTTGGATGCGGTGGTATGCCTTCCATTGGTCAGAGTGGACAATGGATCCTGGTCTCACAAAACGTTGTATGATTGGTAGTAGGGTGTCTACATCCCGTTTATCTACTATCTGCATGTATGTGATGTGATACCAAAAACCCACTGCTCTTTGCTGGCCCGGTGTCCTCTGTTGTATTTGGCTTTGTGGCAATCATCTATCTCATCTATCTGTACCACGATACCTGGACCACCTAACTGGCATGGCGTATTTAGGAGTTTGGTGGTGCAAATATCTCTGATGTACTCGTGGTACTGGTACACTTGTATGGTTGTCTTTTCAGAAATGCCTATTGTCTTGGCGGCCTTCTTCACCATTGTATCCTGACACGAAAGATACATAAAGTACAATCACTTAGCTAAGGGTACTCTAGATCTTTTTGAATAATGAGCCAGACCTGATGGATCGAGTTGTGAGTCTTTTGGTACACTTTTCGTTAATGCATCGGAAACCATAGCCATCTGTAGTGTCTTTTGTTGGTCGAAAAAACACCAACAAGTTGTTAATAAAACACATCAATGAAAATAACAAACCCTATTGATTTTTTTTTTATTTTACAATACTGGTACATTAATTATATACGAGTATTGTTGACAATACTAGTATACGAGTATTGTGGTCGCCAAGTTCAGTTGATTTTTCTAAACGGATAACAGCTAATACGGACCAAAATTCATCAAATTTAAAAACACGGATGATCACGTATAATGCCGACTGTAAGTTCTCTAAAAAGGGGGGTAATTTCTCACCCAAATACACATGAATTTTGCTGACCGTCTCAAATTCAACTCAAAAGTCCATTATCAAATCAGAGGCGGATTTATGGGGGGGGGCCCTTTTGTGTGAAAAATTCGGTTGATTATATAGGGAATCACTGACGCATGACTGGAGCGGGCCCCCTCTTAGGCAGTTAGTGGGCCCCTCTTAGTCTTATTAAAATTTCTGGATCCGCCACTGCAAATCAGTAGAATGTAAGACATATTCACTTCAACTGTTGGTTATTTTATAGCTGGTCTAATATTAATAGATTCGTCCCATTTCATATACACCAAAATATCCAAATTTAATATTAAAAAAAAACTTTCATTATTACATTATCATATAATACAAAGGGAAATCAATCACAAGCACTTGTTTCTGTCAATTGGGGTGGGGGTGGGGGGGGGGGGGGGGGTCACTATCCATACTTGTACGAACATTTTTATTTTTAAGTGGGTGGGTGGGTAGGAGGAATTTAAGGGGACATTATATTCATTTTCTTATTTTGCTATTATGGCTTATTAATTTTGTTTCAATCTGTACACTATTGTTCTTTCCTTTTTATTGGACAGAATATTCATGTTCATCCTGTGTCAGCACTCTTGAGCAATGTTTACTTTATGT